TTTTGCTTAAATACAAAAGAAAGGTGAAAGCTATCAGATGCCTTTTTCACAGTTTGTCTACTGTCATATTTCATTATGATGAGACAGCTAAATACGCAGGTCTTAGCAGTTTCTGCTTCACACTCGACCACACACAGGCACAAAGGGTAGTATCCATCATGCACAGTGCTGCACACTGCCAGTGAAATAAAGCTTTTGGCTTTTCACCTTTTATTTCTGACTCTGGAAGATTATCCCTTTCTGCTTCTGTACATGCAGCAGCTGATGCTGTCACACTGTGTAATTCTGTCCACCTTTTCACACTCTGCTTTCCCTTGCCAGCACTGTCTCACTCACATCCCAACTTTAAATAAACATCAAATTAGGCCAAGATAAAAGAAGCTGTCAGCCTGTGTTAATGAGATAGATTTTTTCTCATCACATACCCATGAGCAGTAAAATATAGCAAGTAATGTCATGTGGGGCATCAAGTGTGTGTGCTACGTAGCACCGGTCAACGGCATCATATTTTCAGAGCTGATTGTGCGCAGTGTACTAACAAGTCTCTGGGGAGCAACTTGATAGGCTGTGAAGGAAAATTCAGACTCTGACCCTGTCACATGAACTGCTACTTTGTAGTGAAACTCTTCAGGTCACGACTAGTGTTGATAGCAATGCCACAACGAGCCGCAGCCTCAGTCTCTCATGGAAGTTGGCCTGCCCTGCCCTGTAGGCAGCTCTGGCTCCAATTACCCTGGCCAATGTGCCGTAGAACTGTGTCACTCTGAATTATACATGGCCTTTGTTCATCCTTAACCCAAGAGCACTGGAGACAGCAGTGGATCATGTTTACACTCATCCCTCCATTAAAACATTCATGAACCTAATTGGTGGCTTAAAAAACAGAGAAATGGCAACAAAAAACAAATGCAGGAGGATGGAAACAGTTACACGTGTGTTTGTTCAAACACTTTGCAGCAAAATTAACACTTGACTGCATGTTCTGTCAATCTGAGAGTCAGATTTAGTTATGAAAGAATTATATCTTGTGGTGCACATAGGAAACAAAACACAGCCAAGAGGAAAGGGATCTGTTTTTCTATCCAAAAAAAAAAAAAGTCCAGAATTTGCTGCATCTTCCACCCACTCATCATGCTGACCTGCAGTAATCAAAGTTATGCAAACAGAAAAGTGTGCTGCTTTGTGAACTCGAAAAAAATCACAGGGGAAATCAAGATGTGAAAAATGGAATGGGAATTGGGTTTACGGCATGGGCTCCGCAGCTGCTACATTATGCAGGCCACCACAGAGGGAACCATAGAGATCTCAGGATGACTCCTTATTAATAGAAGTGCATTTATGTCATGATCTATTGTCAGTTTTTTAAATCATATTAAATTTCTGTTCAATTATTCTGCTGGTAGCATATTTTAGTTTGCTGAATATTGATGTGTGTTTAAGTTCAATCAGTAAAACACCACTTTATAGGGCTATGGCATCCTGATGATGGTTTGAAACTGAAGCCAATCTCTAATATGTGCTGTTCTTATACTTATAGGCTAGATGAATTCACCATTTTGTGCTAACGGGAGAATATTTGTACACAATATGTGACAACAGGTGAGTGGTGTGAACACAGGAAAACATTTGTTCAAGATTTGATACTTTACTTTTATTTTCTGATGTCTCTGGAGCCTCTCACCATATTTTCTTTTCACCTGTGTGCAGCTCCTCCATTTCCTTTGTGCATCTTTGAGTATACTGAATTTTGTCATTATGTGTTTGAACACTGCTTATAGAGTAAGTATTAGAAACATCATGTAGTGTGGAGGTCACACAGTATTATTTTTTTGTTTGTTCTTTAACATTTGATGTATGATGAAATACACGAGCATGCAACACCCACACAGATTGAAAGCACACGCTCATGTACAGTTTAAAGAGTAATTCCTGTCACTATAATTGGTTTTCTCTATAATGAATGAGATATTAAGTTGAAACACCCACACTGATGATGGCTGTAAGAGATGATATATATTGAAAAGCTTATCATGTCAACCTCATTCACTAATGAGTGTCCATCTGTTATTGCGTAACCACTTCTAATATGGCATTGCAGAGAATAGGTCATTGCATTTTTCCGTGATCGAGAGCTCAGTCATTACATTAATTAGGTCTGGCAGTGTGATGCCTGCATGTGTGGACCGGCCGTGTTTGTAAATCCAACTCGCTACACGCCTCCCTGCTAGTTTGTGTTTGCTCAACAGTAGATTTGATATCCACAGAGAGTCGGTGTGACACAACTGTACTCGCAGCAAGTTCATGAAACAGCAAACAATGGTCAAATGTCTAAACTGGCAGCTCCAGCTGTGTGAGCCAAGCACCACTTAGATTTTGATAAGGTGACTGATTAGTAAAGCATTCTGTCATTGGTGGAGTACAATTTTCCTTTAAAGCTCAACAAATGCAACCACTTCTAGCCGTGTGTGTCACATTTCATTTTAAGTGTTGCAGCAAGAAAAACAAAAACTAAATTATACACAGAGAAAGACAAAGACTCGTTTTGGAGGACATTATTAGTTCAGTGAAACTACTTTTTGTCCTCACTGACCTGTTAGAGAACTCATTTGCATTGCCTAAGAAGAGAAGAGCCAGGGATTTAAAATAATTGTTATTCCTTTTGCTAAAATGTTATTTGACATCCAATCTTCCACTATTATTAGCATTACAAAAAAAGTACATCTCAGACACCTTTTATTGGACAAAGAAAAGATAAAATAATACAAAAGACCCAATGTAGACCACTGGATATATTCCATACAAATGAGCACACACATGTGTGTGTGTGTGTGTGTTCGCTGTCCAAGCCAGTGGACCCTTCTCTGGGGTCATGAGCAAACACCCACTGATGGGGATGTAAGAGCTGCATATGAGGTGAGATATGCATTACTAGCTCAGTCTGAGAGTGTGTATACTCCGGGGCCAGTTGGCAGCCATGCCAGGAGCTTGGCCGGGCCTTTGGCATTTTCTTTGTTGTTGATGTCTGCCTGGCCAGCACTGCTGATGCAATTCATTATGCCTCGCAGTTGACAACAACTTAGACCCTGTGATTAATGCATTTGCAGCCTCGTACCAGGGGGAATTAGGTATTCTCTCCAGTTTATCAACTTCGGCTCTTCACAGGCCCCAACTTCTGTTTTTTTGGGGCAAATGCAGTAAGGACCAGAGGGAAAGCAAAAACAGTATGAAGAGCACAGTACACCGTGGCCTAAATGTACTGTATATTGGGGGTTTGTTTTTGTGAGGAGTCAGCAGTTTGCAACAGTCAGCCAGTTATTTTAGGGCAACTGATTTAAAGTTTTTTCCCAGCCAGATCACAATTAGGAGATTTCCACTTTAATTTTCAAATAGAAAAATAGTAAATTTGTCATGAAATCTATAGGATAATTACAATACGACACATCAGGATATCCATATGAAAAGGCTTTGACGTCTAATCAGTTTCATGTAGTTTGTTTATAATCCTATCTCACATCTCAAAAACATCATATCTTGAGTGAGAACATTTGGGGCACTGCTTTGATTCACACCCGAAACAACCTTGGAACAGTGACAGAAATGGATGTTTCCAGTCCTTATCTGTGCACCTTTATACAACACCCTGTACCTGAACATGATGTACTGTATTATAAATGGAATAATGCCTGTAAAATATACCTTGTTCATCCTCGGGCACATGACAAAACACTGTGAGCCACATTCATATTAAATTCTCAGATTAAGCCAGAATCATGTAATACGTCAAATCCACACTCTGATCTGAATATGATAACAGCACGAGTTACTAGTCATGTGTGGCTGAACTGTCAGATCTGTTTATTTTTGCCTCCCCAGCTCCCACGTGCTGGCTTGCACTTATGAGATAACTGCTGTCTGTGTCCTTTTGTAAGGACATTAATAAACATATGACTGACCTTCAGTAAAACATTTATGGTTCCCTCTGAACAAAACATAATTATGATGATTTGTCCAGGAATAAATGGCTTCTGACAGTTGTTTTGGATAATATCTGCTGTAAACTGAATGATATCAGCAGAGATTTGAGCAATTGTAATGCTTTGTGTTTCATCCAGGAAACATTGCAATCCCTATTAAGAGACAGTAGCTTTGGCTGCAGGGCCATTTAAGTCCAAGTAACCAGATCTTACCCAGAGTATAATAATTCTAGAGGGACATGGCGATCCCCCTGTGCTTTGTGTTGTTCCTCAAATCTGTATGCACACACTGAGATTGCCTCACACACTCAAACACGCCAAAACTTCAGCCCTGTTATCTAACTCAACCCTCCAGGCTGAATCACAGTGGTAGACAGAGTCTATAGTATGGGCCTAAAAATTCACATGGACAGAGCATTAAACACAGATGTGAAATGGTTTGACTTTCATTAGTGTAGGAAACAAAATCCTTCAGAATATTGTTGAATTACACTGTCCACCAAATGGCAAGTATTATATAAATAAGTATTATATAAATATAAGCCGCAAATTGATCGATCTGACTACCACGCAAGAAACAGGTCAAAGCTTGGTTTATATGCATGCTGAAATGTGGAACCAGAAAAACTGCTGGCAAAAATTCTCAATGTGAGTTGATTAATTTCTTTTCCTATATTGGACGATGCTGCATTTTGAGTTAGTGCCTTATTCTGAGATTTGAAATTAATCAAATATGTAAACAAAACATCCTTGTAGTTTTCACTTGCAAACAACTGCTATTGTCTCATATTACACACGCTGTCTCACACATTATAAGCTATGGGGGTGGAGAATGAAACAGACAAAATTAGAACAAGTGAGAGGGGGGGGTGGGGGGGTTCCCTCTCCTACAGGGAAAACATAAATAGACTGGAGGAGTGTTATGGCAATGGATTTGCCATTGCACTGTTGTATGTTGTGCTCAGATAGGCTTTATTTGGGTCAACCATATGGAAAGTAAATGCTTCATAGATGCTTGCTACTTACCATTTGGAAGCTTGTGACTGTTCTCCATCAGCCATGTGAACAGGTTGGCAAAGTTGCAATTGCATACCCAGGGGTTGCCCTCTAGCCTCACCACCCGCAGGGAGGGCAACTGACTCAGTGCCCCCACCTTTAGGGAAGACAGTGCATTACGCTCCAGTTCCAGTTCTCTCAGAGAGGTGAGGCCCAGGAAAGCATCCTCACTCACCATGCTCAGATATGGGTTGTTGCCCAGTCGTAGTTTGATCAGGCTACGGGACTCCCCAAACGTCCCCTTAGGGATTTCAGTCAGATTGTTGCTGCCCAGGTCCAGGAACACCAGCCTGGAGGAGGTGCTGAGTGTCCCCGGCTCTATGTGGGAAAGGGAGTTGTTCCGGAGGTCCAGGTAGACCAAGTCACTGTACAGAACCAGGAAGTCTGAGGGGATGCGGGGTATCCAGTTGTCAGCCAGCAAAAGCCTGCGCACATCCAAGGGGATCTCATCGGGTAGACGGGTCAGCCCACGGCCGCTGCAGTCCACAGTGTGAGGATCTGGGCACAGGCAGGTTGCTGGGCAGTTTTCCCCCCGGGTCCATAAGACAGAGGACAGCAAGATGAGGATAGGTTGGAGCCAGCAGACACATGGCAACATGGTCAAGGGGGTGAAATGAATGAGGTGGAAAAGAGGCTCGGGGTCAGGGTGAATAAGAGAAGGTGGGTGGGGGTAGAGAACAAGAGGGTGAGGGTCAGAGGGTAGGAGATCAGGACAAGGGAAGGGAAGGGGAAAGTGAAAGGGGGTGGATGGGGATCAATCCTCGTGAAGGAACATCCTGCAGTTGTGGAGATGAAAATCGGCTCAGGAACTGTGAGGCAGCAGAGCAGCGGCGAGAACTGTTTTCCAGGAGAACATGAAGCAAGCTGCTCGGATAGAATAGCAGACTGCCTGCTTTGAAAGAGCAAAGAGAGGGAGATAGTAAGCAGTAGGGAGCGGGAGAGCAAGAAAGACGAAGCTTAACAGAGAGGGGAGGGTAGCTTAAGAGAGGTAAATAGACACGAGCGAGCTGGGAGTGATGAGAAGCCGGGGGCACAGACAAGGGAGAGGGGGGTTGAGGAGGGGGCTCTGTCCGCCACGCTACCCCACAGTTGATCTGGCAGCAGTGACAGACAAAGGCAATAAGGTCTCTGACACAAAAGGATATATGAAGCTGTGATTCAAGCATGACAAGCAAAGAGTATCATCGTTGCATCCCTCCATTAGTCCCAGGTCTCTATGTAGAAAAGGCTGACGGTCTGAAACGAGAGAGAGAGAAGCTCGCGGAACATCGCTGAAGTGTGTGGTAAGGCTGCCCCCCCACCCCCCCACCCCCCGCTATTATTCCTTCTCTATCTCCCAGTGCCCTGCAACATGCTGTGAAAACACAGCACAGCTCCAATGTTAAACCCTATCCAGCACCGTTTCAAGCCTGAGTGGCTGTGGGGGGAGAATCCAAATGTCCAGGAAGGAGCTTCATGGATGTAGATCGCAGTGCTGAGCTGCACACAGCCATGCCAAGCCAATGCCTGCCTCTGCATCTACCATGGTTTATCTCATGCCTCTCCCCTCTCCTTATTTCCAGGGAGGCGTGCCTGAACCACGCTGTCAACATGTGATGTCACTTCCTATAGTGTGAAGAAATGACAGTCAGTTGTATCTGGAAAAATCTGAAATATTTATTTACGATGCTGTTATGACGCTTTATTTTAAAGTGTATTCAACTGTATGTCCTTAAGCAAAATAAAAAATAAGATTGAGGCAAATTATATTGAGGCATTTTACATTCCCCTTGTCTTCCATACATTCATATTTAAACCTTTCTCCTGCTTTGTAATCCTTTGACAATAACAAGCCGTTGCTTTGACAGTAAGCCTCAGTCGTTTGATGATTTTGGAGAATATCTTAATTAAACACAGCCTGTCCTTTGGAGAATCTTCATTAATTGTGTATACAAATGGAAAGCTGTGACCTTTTAAATTATACGGCATTAGCCTTTACTCACTTATTTTGTTCCCACAATGCCAAGCATTAGCAAACTGCGCTTTGGTGTAGAATAAAAAGTCCCAAAGCAGATCACCTGTCCACTTGAAAAATGAGCTTTACATTGATTCATTTGCCTTTTCATTTGTGTGTTTTCATGACCTCAGTATTTTGGATTGTAAAACAGGGGCGCCATGAGTCTCAAACAATAATGGAGAGAAGACGATTAATTCACAATGTGTATTGAATGCAATTAGGCCAAGGTAAATGCAATTAGACCAAGGTTGTTTCAGGAGGAGAGTGAATGAGACCTGTGGAGATGAGGGTAGCATGAAATTTCAAAGGAACAAGCACTGTCATGGATGGTTAATTGTGTATTTCCAAGAAGATAATACACTGGAAGAGCAAATTTAATACATTAATAAGTTTACAGAAGTATTCACGAGGATGAAATTGCACACACACACACACACACACACACACACACTTGCACCTTATGATAACCAGTTGGCAATAGCATCTAACTCACTTCATCACAGGTAATCTAATAATACCACTCCTCGCTTGAGGCATTCACTGAAGTCAGATGAGTCTGCAGCATCACCAGTGATGTTGACTTTGTGCCACAGGGAAGAGAAGAAGCTCTTTCATCAAAAAAACAGGAGGCTTTGATCACAGTCAGCATATATCAACTGGAAAGCATTAAAAGCTGAGGCAGCTTCAAATGGTTCCAAGGATACACATTTCAACTTTACATTATACTGTGATAATTCAGTTAAGTGCAGCTGTTGGTTTACATATAATGCTTAAATATTTGCTGTCTCAGGGACAGTTTAATGAGAGAGCCTCCTTCAGGATGGCACAGAGGATAATTCACAAAAATCGTTATAGCCCACTTCAATTTCTGCCTGTCCTCACATCACAGCTGCTGCTTTAGAGATGCATTCTGTCTTTTTGTGGACAAAGATGCCAATGAATTTACAGTAAATCTAATACAAGATACAGTGTTTTTCTTTTGTTTTGTTTTTATTGGTTTCTATTTCGTAACACTTTACCTTAACTTACCTAAACTTTAACAACCATTTTGCATTTAGAAGTATAATACAAACATTTAATAAATAGTATAAAACAAACTACAATGTAGCTTAGAGCAGAACTGTTTATTCCTGTATTTGTCAACAACTATTTCTCTCCCAGTTGGCCACAGCAAGTGGAGGCTGGGGTGGAAACAGAAAATTAATGATAATACAGTAAAATATTGTTGTAATTATATTAAAAATGTCTGCATAGAAGAAGTTATAATTGGTGACAAACATGTCACCAAACACATCCTTATAGCTGGTTACAGCTACATTATGTTATTAAGAATTTATTAAATGTTTATGTTCTGTAGTCCTTATAAGTTCTAATAGGGGGGTTCACATTTGCTATATTTCAAAATCATTTTCTTTATGTGGTGATGCAGTAAAAATCTATGAAATGATACTAGTATTTGCAAAATAAAAAACCAAGTAAAGACTGTTTATCACACCTGTTCTAGCTCCTGAGTCTGTTATTGGGTGGTATTTTTGTAGGTTGAAATGTCCATTCTTATTCTTATTGCAATTAAGACAGCATCGAGTCTAAACTGATCTTTTCTCCTACAAATGCTAAAGTCAATCAAAACACATTTAAACTGCATAACAATGCAGATAATTGCTTTCACATTAATTGATTCCTGAATGAAATGAGGTATGTGTAGGCGGGCATGTACTATGTATACTGTGAGATTCATTTGTCTCGATCCTGTTCTTCACTGTTGTATTTTTACCTCGCAGCTGCAAGGATGTAAGAGGGGAAACATGTTCTTGGATTAAAAAAAGGTACATGTTAAACAAGATACCACATTTCCTCTGCCCTGTTTCTGTCAGCTGATTAATTGCTAAGCAGCTCAGATGAAATGGACTTAGAGATACTTAAAATGGAGATGGCTCACATTGAAATGCAACTAGAGCACTGCCACAGATATAATGGCCACTCTGTTGCTGAGGGTGGTCATGCAGCTGTCTAATCTCCAAATGTGATCCCAAAAGACTCTTGACAACAATTTGTCTGTGTAAAAAGCCCTGAAAATGTGTTTGTATAGTAGTCCTTTCTGTCCGCTGGCTAGTCATCCAGGCATGTTAGAGTTGCATTCACAATCACTTAAAGGGGCTATTTGAATGTGTTTTCTTGGCGGGAGTGGGCGGTGGTGATTGTCGCTTGACAAGAGATTCAGCCAGATTCTGCAGATTGGAGGCTACAGTAGCCAGGGCTAGCTGGTTAGCATGCTAACTTAAGTAGAAGACAAGAGGTGACAGAAAAAAGAGTTAACATTGGTGTTGCTTTCCTTCACTCGTGACAGCTCTTAATGAGTAAAGGAATCAAGTTTGATTTTGAACTCGCATAGTTTCTTCTAGACTAGTAAATAATCGGCTGTTAATGCTAACGTTGGCTATAGCACGATCAAAACTTACAAATAGCTCAGGTTACATTAAATTGTTGTGTTGCTTTTTTTTTTTGCTTACAATTTTAGCCTTATTAAATAAGGTCAGAGATTGTAGTTATGTTTAAATATACAGTACATAAATACTGTCAGAAGTCATACAGACATACAGATCCCAACCTTTCCCAAACCATAACCAAATGCTTTGAGTGTCTAAACATAACCATAAAAAAGTTTAATAATGCTGTAGTCACTAAAATTTGGTATTGAAAATCCCTGTAAATGTACAGGAATTGCAACATTAAATTTATTCGCTATTTCACAAACTTAAAGTTGTGCTCAATTTATGTCCATGACACGAAATCAATAGATTATATTTGGTGTACCTGTACATTAACTGACGTGAGACCGGGTTGTATAACTACAACAAGGACAAGGCTTTAGTGCTTCTATCAGCACAGTGAAAAGGCTCTGACATTGCTTGCAGCCAACAGGAACAAAAGTAAAAGACAGGAGGGGCACTCCTACACAGGAGTACACTCCTGCTGAGGATCTGGCCCCATGCAATAATGAGGGTCACTCATATAAAAAATCATCAGGGAAAACCAAAGAGGTTTGAACACTCTTGGCCTCCTAAGAGACCCTCTCACGATCCACACACTGAGCTCCATGGGATCTACTACAAATGGTGATGTAATTTTTCAAGAGACGGACTGAAGGGACTGAAGATGAAAAATTATTCAGTTGGCTAAATCTGGCACATTTAAATCATGATCATGTCAATTAAGGTGCATTGTCCATGATAGATAAATTGATAGATGAATAAAAAATATTATCTACAGTAGTAAAAGCAATTCACTGATATTGTAGGCTGGCATTCCCTATTTAATAGTCGTTTACTCTTGTCCTCATGCTGTTTCTGTTTTGTTCAGTAGTCTATATTTGTCTGACTACACGAGACAATTTTTTCAAGTGGTAGCTGTTTGATTTGGTTAAAAGCTTTAAAATGTTTGTACGACTTTTCTGAAATATCTACAGGTAAGATAAAAGTGAAATGCATGCATTCACAGGACCATAAAGGCATTGAAGAACATGTGAGTCACATATGTTGCACACAATATGTGGTTGAAACAAGGACCATCTAATCTAAACCTGACCTGAATGACTTTGTCCACAGATAAAGTAGAGCTACAGTAGTAGCAACTTTTTCTCTGCTACATAGCTACAGAGCTTCAGGACAAAGAAAAACTACTTTGACAGCAATGTCATCCATTTATCTTAACTGTGACAAATATATGTTTTACAAATAATGTGCGGTTCCAGAGGTGAGAGGACTGAAGATTCCTTGTTTTCCTTCACTTTGTTCTCTGCTAACCTTGAATACCCGAGGAAAACAATGTTAAATTGAGTGTCCACAAGAGGAATGGATGGAGTATTGCTT